ATTGTTCATTAATAAGAAGGTTTTGACTTTATTCCATCAGTTTACTATCATCTCGAAAAATAAAGAAAAGATGCTAAATTAACCAATCGGATTGAACATTTGTAGGTTATTGTCCACTCTCTCTCTCTCTCTTATCCGTGCGTACCTGTATTAGTGCACTAATAAATAACATTTTTAAACAAAAACCTATTGATGGTTCCATTATTCTATCAGTTATTGTATTCGTAAAACAGAAGAAAAAATAACTAAACTTGATTGTTTAAATGTATAGAAACATTGAAACAACCATTTTCTTTTTCTTTTTCTTAACAATATATTTTCTATAAGAATATGATTAAAATAACGCAAAGTGAGTTCATGTTACTATGACAACCATAATAACTGAAACAATTTAATATGAATGAATGAACATCAGAAAATGAAAAAATAACCAGTTAGCTTATTAAAAGTCAATTTGTGCATGGTGCTTGAAAATTATTTCTTTTGTTTATTAGAGTTTTTTCACATGAACACCGTTGGATGCCGGCCGGCTCAGTGGTCTATCGGTTAAGTGTTCTTGCAGGAGACTGTTAGGTCTTGGATTCCAAACTCGCTCTCGAGGCGGGATCGTGGATGCACACTGTTGAGGAGTACAATAATAGGACGAAACTGTCTTCCAGTGCTTCCAAGTTTTCCATGGTGGTCTAGCTTCAATTGACTCATGATTTCAATTATGAAAATTATTAAAGTTTGTTGTAGTTATTTTCTTAATTCCTCATGTGTTACATTAAATGTTACAATTTTCCTTTAAGATTTTATTTGTTTTATACCAAAAGAAAGTCTTATTATCTGGATGTTATGGAAATGAATTGTTGACCATTTTAAAATATTTCATTTAGTTCTTAAATACAATTACTTTTCCTAAAGGAGACACTAGATAGTTTTATTAGAAATCTCTTTTCATTTGAACACTTATCAATGAAGCAGGCGTAAATTATCGTTCAATATGAAAATGAGATAGAGAATTAAATGAAAGTTGATGTTCACTCTAGGACTCGAACCCAGTAACTTTCGCTTCAAACTCCATCGCGCTATCCACTCGGCCACTGAGTCATGATAGACACTAAACTACTATTTGATGGGGTGTAAAAAGTTTTAAATTATGGATGCGTCATGAGGCTCACAATTGAAAGATCACTAGTCTCCATTTTACATATTTGGCCTAAGCATATTGTCAGTTACTTACCGATAGGACCAGATGATTTTCACACTGATTAATCTGGAAATATGGACTATTGGATTCTAACTTGCAAGTCTATATTTGATGCATAAGCCATGAGACCTATATGTCCCGGGTTCAATACCTGGGAGAGTCGTAGCTGTGCATTACTCAAAGTCACATACTAGGAAAAAACATTTGTCCACCAATTCCAAATTTTCAGTGGTTCCCTTACTGATGTCATTCTGCGACGTAAGCCAACCTTGATTTTTTAATAGAAACGTTTTCTAACTGACAGTTTATTTAGGTAGTATATTTTATGAAGTATAACGGTATTTTTTTAATCATGATTATTTCAGACTATAGCTGTGATGTTTGTTAGAGCTATTCGACTTGCGGAAATTAGGTCACAGGTTCGAAACCTTGTATATTTCTCAAACTACACAAGTAGTATGCATCGTCAACGACTCTCAGAACGTACAAAGTCAGTGAAAGAATATATTACTTGTTACTGTTTCGATATAGTTGCCAATGTTGATTTCACGAACCAAGTGGAATTAAACCGATTCACAATCGCTGACTAACCAATAATTGTCATTCGGGTCTTCTTTTACCAGAAATATAGAAATTATCTATAAACCAATAATTTTACTTCACTAAAAATCATTGCTGGATTTTGATATATTCAACATTTATCTAATGGAACTAGTAGGATAATACTTTCAACCTATGGAAAAATATTATTAAGGTTTTTAAATACAATTGTTTATCCTCTCTCACAAATTCGAATCAAGTAATATTAACGCCGAAAAATAGTAATGATATTGATAAATGGGAAGTAATAGTGTGGTGTGTGTTACTGATGTCCACAGATATAAGTAGTATGTGTCACGTATTGAAAGTGAAACGCCTGGCTGTCGAAAGTTAAGGAGATCGAACAGGAGAGCACGAAAATAGAGAGTGGTCGGTATGGAAACTAAGAAATAATCAAGTGTGAGAAAATCGATTGACATTTTGCAAATGAAATATTTACTGTATGGTTCCCATATCTTACTAATAGATTCGGTAGCTGTGTGTTCTGAGTCATTTAGCTGTCCTCACCATTTAGAGATATGAACCATTAAATTTTGGCCAAGTGATCTAAATGTCCTATTCTGGGTGGGCTGGTTGATGTTTACGATTGAATATTCTGAAACTAGCATGAAGTACTTTCTAGTCCTCTCTAGTTTCCCCAATGGTCCTTCATCGGATGTCAAACCTGAGTTTTGTGTAAGTTAAAACTCATCAGCAAAACGTATCTGCATCTTGAGAGAACTGAATCTCCCCGTGAAATTAAAGTTCACACCAGTCAATTTTGTAGTAGTAGTAGTAGTAGCAGTATTGATTTTTAATTATTCTTCTTAATGCCTATATTAATCCACATAATTCCGGAACATTGTGATTGTCCTTTCTTTGGTTTATTAGAGGTCTTTTAGTTCTCTTTTCATCTGGTTCTTATGTTTGAAATTGTACATTTTCAATGAATTGTTAATTTCTCTTATCTTTTAGGTGAACTAATGAAATAAAAAGTTTAATATAATTCATCTCATATGTTTTCATAGTTGAAAGCGTGAGTCAATTGAAGCTAGACCACCATGGAAAACCTGGAAGCACTGGACGGCCGTTTCTTCCTATTGTGGGACTCCTCAGCAGTGCGCATCCACGATCCCGCACTCACGAGATTCTAAACTAGGACCTACCAGTCTCGCGCCAGAGCCCTTAAACGATAGACCACTGAGCCGGCATCCAACGGTGTTATTGTCTAACTTCAACTGATCCACGAAGTTTGAGCAACCGTTCACCAATTGTCTTCAGTGAGTTCCTATCTCACGACAGACGTGATTTGAACTCCACTGGTCACTGCTTCTCACTAGAACTCCTGGATGTACTTCTCAAAGTCAGTCACCAGTGAGCATATGATTATATTAATTATCAGAAGGGGTTTTGTGGAGATTTAGTATTTTCATAGTTGAAAGCATGAGTCCCATAATAGAACGAAACGGCCGTCCAGTGCTTCCAGGTTTTTCCTGGTGTTTTAGCTTTAATTAACTCACTCTTTCAACTATGAAAATACTAAATCTCCACAAAACCCCTTCATCTCATATATACTAATGACTGATGAAAAGTTTATTTCTCTTGACATTTTTATCAAACAATAATCCCAGAAATGTTTGTCCAAAGCACTAGGAAGTCATCAATGAAAGTAAGAAAATTTTAGAATAAATAAAAGTTGTGACACACACAAATAAATGAAGAGTTTTTAAAAAATAATCATAATAATTGAGAACGAAGTTTTAATCTTGAATTATATATGAGGATATTAAGTGATTGTAGACATTATTTTTGGCAGATCTGAAATACTGGAGGAAATGGTATTTTCTTTGATATTTGGACGTAAATCACCCAGTATCACAGTCAGAGATGTCACTATTGAGTTATTTTTGCGAGAACCAGTCCCCAATACGATCAAGTCATTGGCACACATAATGACCACTTAGTGGTGAAAAAAAGTCGGGTTTTACTGAAATTGGATTGTAGCTAAAAGAGGTATTCAGGATATACGTTAGATATTTTCTCATTTCCTGTATTGATGATCATACAGTAGTACTCAAACTCAGAATGTATCACTTCAAATGTTAACTATGCTACTGAGTTCAGATAGCCACTAATTTGCACAATAAAAAGGCAATACGATCAGAATGCACATAGCAATAACGGGAAGTATAATTTTTGGTAAATTTCATGTTGTCTGATTCTTAAATTGATTGAATTCTATTGCTCAATGCCCTATTCATATAATGAATGGATCCATTTAAGACTGAATCAGTTATGTTGATCTACTACTGAAGAACAATCAAAGTCTTGACAGAAGGTTTTTAAAATACTAAACAATAAATAGAGTACACCTGTATGACATAAAGTGACTAGGCTTGGTCAATGAACTACATACTTGATGAATAGAATCCAGACAGCTTGGAAATAAAACATCTTAACATTACTTTCTGAGGAAAGACTTCTTGATCTGGAGGATCCGAAAGACATTGTCTTAATTTGGGATGTCCAACATGTTACCAAATCCATTTCCAATCTTTTGACGATCGCCATTCACAAGTATAGTATGTATTCTGAATTATCAAGATGTTCACCACTTCCACAAGATTAACAGTAACCTACATCTGCATCAACCTTTAATATTGACTATTAGCATATGATTAGAAGTTTTACTTATCTCGATAGTTATATGATTTTTTGTGTCCGAAATGAAGCCAATTTATATATAGTGAAGGCCAGCATCTCTCAAATTAAGCTTTGACAGTTTTTAAACCATCACAACGTCATTTAGTATGCAAAATTATCTAGTGTACATCATAGTGAGGATGGTCCTATCCTGACGTTTCCTACCTTATTATTTTTAGTGATTTTAGTGTTTGCTCAACGATGGTTCTGTTCTCATTCTGTCAAAAAAGTAGGCTTAGATCTAACGACGTGAGAATTCCTGTGAATGTATATGCTTTATGTTTATTGTTTGAAGAAATCGTCTAAAAAATACACTTTTCACTACTTATTAAGAAGTTTTGTTGAATTTCGGAAAAAAAAAACATAAGATGGTCAGAGAGAAGAAATGACATGAAATTGATGACTGGTTTCAAACATCCAACACTACATAACTGACATTTTATAAATGATTTACACCAGTTAGCAATTTGTCATTAGTACATAGCATTAATTGATATATTGTGTTATTCTCTTATATAAAACTAAGATTCAGTCAAATAGCCAAGACGATTATGATGACGATTATGAAAGCGACGACGAAGATGAGAACGCTGAAGAGGTAAAACTACATGTTCCATTGACAGTCAGTGTTATTGTTCTATCCATATATACATTAATTGGTTCTGTGATATTTCCAACATGGGAAGATTGGTCAACAGCTAATGCTGCTTACTTCTCATTTATTACAATATCAACAATTGGATTTGGCGATTTAGTTCCAGGGAATGGAAGATTTACTGAGGTAAATTCATGTATATATCTTAACATTTTTGTTTTTAAAAAAAAGAAAGAAACGAACCACAGTCGTATAACCTGTGTTGCATTTTAATTTAAATCCATGGCTAAATCATTATATAAAGAAACTGTGTGTATTTTTAAGTTGTAAAATATTCTTTTAGTCATATTGATGATAACCTCAGTTTTTAAAAGGCCGTGTCTGATATATGTCGAGAACAGTATCAAGAAAGCGACTAGCGATAAACGTCGATTGACTACTGTGGATAACTTATTGAGACCTTGACGTTGATTGTATTATTTTCTGAAATCTTCATACATTCGTACCAGATAAAGTTAGCACAATAACTGTAGTGAACAGAACACGACTGAGGAAAATCGAATGTATCGAAGTTAAAATTACAGACTATGTCAGTAAATTTTGAAAACCATACAATGGGCAGTCAATTTGCAAATTAACAACCAATAGTCCCAATCTTCACTGTTTCTTCTCCATTGTTCGTGCATTTTCCTACCGATTGCGCTTCGTTTCAGTTCTTTCCTCATCGGTCTTCTGCCAAAGTACATTCTATATCTGACCAACACCATATGCTACTTATATGGATATAAGTAGATCACACCACGCAACTATCATGGTTTCTCTATTCGGTTCCATGTAGTTTTGTAGGTGTTTGCAGATAGGACAAAACAGTTGTCCACTGCTATTTCCCTATCTTTAATAGTTTCCCCGGATGAAGCTAGTTTATAATCAAAGCTATCCTCAAATTTAAAATATCTTCGCAAAACTAACTAACTAACTAACTATATCAGCAGACTAACAATTATAGGATGTGTATAAGGTTGCAGTCAACAACAGGTTACAGAACAAGCAATTTTATAATTCTGTAGTGTCCTTTATTGAATGATATTGGAAGGTGCTTTCCTAAGCATTGAGGAACACTTCTTAAGAACACCCCATGTACCAATCTCTCCAAAACCAAATGAACAAATGTATATTCACATAGACTTGGTCAGTCGCGATAACTCATCCTTGTTTGCCAGTGACTTGATAGCTTAGGCCAATTGTATTGAGGCTACATAAAGTGTATTTGTTTAAAAGTCACCTGGAGAAACAATTTCTGAAAACTCCATCCAACCTATAAAATCAGTCAATATATATGCTTCTCTAAATGTGTGTCAACCCAACAATTTTACCATGGTTACTAGAGTCGAAATTAACTAAGACACAATACCTGTCTAATCCCACTAGATTTTTAATGATACTCCTTCCACAGTTTTATTTATTTTATTTTATTTATACATATAAATATTGGCACAAAAGGGCACCAGATGCATATGCGCCGCACAAATCTCATTCGATTTGTGTGAGGGCTGTGATACTGCTCAGGTGCCCAAACTGAAGCAGGTGCTTTTCTTAAGGGGTCACACCCAGAGCCTATGAGCTGAAGGTTTAGTCCACAAGGCAGTGGAGCATCGTGAGGAGATGCAGTCCCATGGTAGCCGATGACCAACAATTGGTTCATACGCCATTTGTTCCATCAGGATCCTGGAGCCCATGTGCACCATTGTTTTGGAATGAGGGTTTTCCAACTCCCCTAGGTGGACTTTCCGTGTCTACCAAACTGGTTAAAGCGCCTGACATTCGCTTTTCGTCTTCTCACTTTCATGAACAACACTCGTGGTGCGCGAAGGTAGTGAGTAGGATTTCCCTGACAGAGGCTATATACGGGTTGCGATGTGAGAGCATTTGGAGAGGGAGAGCGGCTCCTCTCCACTCTCAGCCGTACCAGGGCATTTTGGGAGCCCTTCCACAGTTAGAGTCAATCATTGACATAAATCAACATTATACTCCATACCAAATCATATTGTCCAGTTTAATCGAAAACAAACTATTATTTATGGTAAGCAAAGATTGATAGTGGCTAGCATTGGAATTCAGTTTGACGCTTGTTTCGTCCTATTTGGGACTCATCAGCTGGATGTACCTGCATCTCAGAGTTGATGTTCACTCTGGCACTCAAACCCAATACCTTTCGCTTTATTCACTCAGCTACTATCCATCTCTGTTTACCATGCTTGTGAATTTAGGCTATATCGAGGCAATACGCACTGTATGCACATATGCCAATGAGAGATTGACCATTTGCAGTTCTAACACATCTATGGGAAGATTCAAACAAACAATACTAAATGAATTTAAACTTTTATTTTTGTGGAGTTACATATATACATACATAAAGATTGACTATTACCACATAGTTACTAATAAATTCTCATTTATTTATTTGAAAAACAAACAAACTACACAATAACAATTCAACATTTCATTTTAGCCTAAAACTGCAACTGAACTTCTTGTTGGTGGTTTATATTTACTATTTGGATTAGCTTTATTATCAATGTGTTTAAATTTAATGAAAGATGAAATTATTGCCAAAGTTCATTATATTTGTAATTGTATTGGTTTAAAAAATAAAAATACCCACAATGATGATGATGATGAGGAGGAGGAGGTGGTAAATAATATAAATCAACAATTAGTTAACCAATTTAATACACCAAAAGAATCATCTACAATCATAACACAGAATAATCGTAATGAACAATTGAACAATGAACAGCTGAATAAAGAAACAACACAATTAATGATTAAAACAAAAAAGATTGAACAATCTGAAACTAATCAAACAAAAGAATATGATAATGAAGCATTTCAGAAAGACAGATAAACCAACTTTCTATATAAAAAAGAAAAGGAAACTAAATGACCGGGTAGACAAGTTGATTTAGTGATTTCTTCATTTTTATCATGTAAAATTTACTATATATACTATTTGTTAAATAAACCCTATCGACTAATACATATTTAAACAAAATATATACATGACAACAAATTCTCTTTATCAATGGATGATTACTAATTGTTGTGTTTGGTTTTATCCATATTCGAAAAAGAAAAAAGGAACAGATTGCATGAAAATACTACTTACTACTACTTATTTTTATTCAATATTTTTAAAGATGAATCATTAAAGTGTTGTCGTTATTATCGTCTAAAGTTATTTTGTTGCATGCATCAATTTTGTGTTTGTTTTTATAAAATATGCATATACCATTATTGGCTTTCTTTTTCACACTACTAAATCAATTTAAGTAGTCCGATGTGATACTAAAAGGGCACTAGCGTGATAGGAACTGAGCAAATGTAACAAGTATCGTGATTATAAACAAGTAACTGATAAATCCAAAATAAAATAGAATACGTTTGTATTTTATTGTTTATCGTTGCCAATATGAAGTTCAATGTAGTCAATAGGTTCTTTAGTCGATTTTCACAGTTGGAGGAAAGTTGAAGATTAAAGTTCCTTCTTTTTCATTAATGTAATTTTTTGAATAGTTGAGGTCATGAATCAATTGAAGCTAGACCACCATGGAAAAACTGGATGACCGGTTCGTTCTATTGTAGGACTCCTCAACAGTGCTCATCCACTATCCCGCCTCGAGAAATTCGAACCCAGGACCTATCAGTTTCGCGCGCGAGAGCTCAACCTCTAAACCACTGAGCCGGTATGGAATGTTGTTAATGTCTAACTTCAATCCATCCACGAAATTGAGCGGCTCGGTAGTCTAGAGGTTGAGCTCTCGCGTGCGAAACTGATAGGTCCTAGGTTCGAATCTCTCGAGGCAAGATCGCGGGTGCGCACTGCTGAGGAGTCCTACAATAGGACGAAATGGCCGTCCGGTGCTTCCAGGTTTTCCACGGTGGTCTAGCTTCAATTGATTCATAATCTCAACTATTAAAAAAATTACTAAAATATCCAGAAAACCCCTTCTGATTTTAATAATGTTCTAAATTTTTGTCACAAAAGAAGTTCGGATCTTTTATTTTCTCCTTAAATCGTGCCAAACTGTAAATCTTTATCTAGTTCCCACTTTCTGCACAATGATTTGAAAAATGTAGTTCTAAATCCACCTAATTTACTGTTTTAAAAACCACTTAGAAGTTCTTAATATGGGAAACCACTCAATGAAGCAGTTTTTTGGTGACTGATATGAAGTGAAGGAACATTGGAAATTTTATACTGTCACTGCAGTTGACATTTTAAATTATTTAAATCAATCGATATTGGTGTTACTGGTGTACATTCATCCGTTCACCTTGTTATTAAGTAAATAATCACTTTCTTCCTCTTCTACACTGTTTAGTTGATTTTATTAGTACTTTTCACTATGTCACAATTGTCTGAGTTCCATTATTTTGAAAAAATGAATCGTTTTATTGAACAACATTCCATTTCTAGTGAAGACTAGATTTAAACTAGTCCGACTATTCACGAATAATACTTTTAATAATCAGGAAACATTCATTAAATCTGATTTCTCAAATAATGATTAGTTAACTGTAAATAAACACAATTCAAGAGAGTTCATTGACAATCAATAAAGTCTACCATAGAAAAACTCAATTGTCAACGACTGAATAAGTCATCTTTGAACAGAATAACAACTCTATCAAATAGGCTAGGCTTGTTAAGTAATAGAGGAAGTTAGTTCAATTTATTGACTTTCATTACAAACTGGTATCAGCTGAAAGACAAGTCTCTATAAGCAACCTAAGTAAACAATAATCATATGCTAGTTAATCATTACCATACAAATAGGTTTCCCAAAATTCTGGTAAAACATTGTAACTCATATAGTCATTCGATTCCAAAAATAAAACAGTTACTCATCAACATTGATGGATAATATTCCTGTTACATTGAGAATTGACTGAAGTTCTGTTATATATCTCAACACTCCGTTTTCCCCAATTCAATCTCATGTAGTCATGAGTTTGCACTATTAGAGAGTGCCGAAATGAGTTAAAATAGCTGTTCAGTACTCTTTATTTCCCCAAATTATATTAGTATATGACGAAAATTATCAAACACTGTTTACAAGAATGGTTTTGTAAGTCTACAATTTCCAAAGTCTCTTCTTCATTTCTTCGTGATCTGTGCATTATTTTATCTATTACTTCAGTTAATCTTCATTACTGATTAGACATCATCAACTAGTTTGACTGATCGTAAAATTGTGATATATTATGATGTGTAGACATTATACAGATCGATTTTTTGAATTTTAAAAATGATTAGGATGAAGCAGTATGAATGATACCCAGTTTATCAGTTTCATTGTCATAGATTGTTATATCTTGTGGCCGAGTGGATACCTGGTTAATGTATGACTTGATAAGACCGTCAATCAGAGAGCAGCAAATTATCGATCAGAACAGCGACACACGAGAACCGTACGAGCAATCTTGAGTACTACTTGGTCCTACTATCTGCCTAACCCAGCCAGTTAAGTCCAGAACACCAATAACAACCTCTGCAATATGAATGATTATCCACAAACATACTGGGTTTATATACCAACCAAACAGACCACATCGTACCATAAAATAGAAAATAAAATTTTGTACAATATTTAGCCAAATGTGGCTGTGAATAGGAGGGAAAGTAATCAATAAGCTGATGATAACTCGAAAATCGTATAATAATAGTTCAAAGGTCAAAATAAAGCTAATGATAAGAGGGACACGAATACGATTAGGTTAGTTACTTACTAATTATACAATAGGAAATATACATAATACATTGGTCCACAAATAGTCTTCAGAAGTTACCATTCACAATTCTCTTCGGGATACAACATAGATTTTTTAAAAACTCAACTTTGTATATCATCTATTCGTAAACACGTAAATATCTTCGGAATTCGCAATCATAATTACTTATTACTGCATAATTTGATATTAACAGGGAATTTTCCATCTACAAAACATTATTTCAACAGTTTAATAATCCCCATAGAATATTTAAGGGAACAATTATTTTCAATAACTTCATCATCAGGCGCTAAAGTGATTTTCATTCATTACACCTGTTACTCCCAATAGAGCATAGGCCGCCGACCAGCTTTCTCCAATCCACTCTGTCCTGGGCCTTATTTTCTAGTTTTATCCATTTTTTGTTCATTCTTCTCATGTACAGTGATGAGTTCATAATTATTATGGTATTTTATACTATTTGTCGTAACTGATGCAAAAGTTCACCATTTTTAACATATAACATTGTCAAATTCATATTAATGCATACCTTATTATGGTTTTATTAAAATATCACAATAATTATAAACATATAACTATAGATGGATAGTGGCTAGTAGTGGAATCCAGGACTCGAGTCCCAGAGTGAACATCAACTCTGAGATGCAGGTACATCCAGCTGACGAGTCCCAAATAGGACGAAACAAGCGTCAAACTGGATTCCACTGCTAGCCACTATCCATCTTTGCTTACAATGTTTGTGAATTAAGGCTGTGTCGAGGCAATATGCACAGTATGCATATATGCCAATTAGAGACTGATCAGTTTCAGTCCTAACACATCGATGGGAAGATCCAAACAAACAATACTAAATGAAAATATAACTATAGAGTTTGATAGAGAAGTTATTGGAAAGAATTGTTTACTCATTTTCTTTTGCTTTTTAAAGCATTATTTACACTATTACAACAAATATCTTCAAGAATGTGTACGCTCGATCGTAATAGTTGAAAGCCAAGTGCTTCAATCATTTAACCATCAGTCCTATAATAAACCAAACGTTTCTATATAACTAACTAACTGTAAAAGTACTCATACCACCTTCTCATTCAAGGCAATTTCTTGTGTCAGTACTTACATATTCATGAACTAATCACTTATCGAAAGATACAAAAAACACTTTCGAAAGGAATAATATAGACAAAGTTAAACAAACCAATCTATAATCGAACAAAATTTGAATATTTTAATTATTAAACAAAATTTATATGGTACATTTCATGTCAGCATTGTTTATTCTTGTTCTTTATTTAACATGAATATAAATTTATCAAAGTGTTCCGTCAATAGAGTCTTTTGAGCTCTCCACTGGACAGCTGGCATTTGTGTAATATCTCCAATAGTCTTTTCAAAGCGTAAATATAATAACCAGAATTCTGTGAATTTTAAGAATAAAAGACGATAATAGAGATTTAAGGTAAATATATAGTGTTGTCTATAATTGAAGCAATTTCTAGAAATTGTTGGAATTAGATAAATCAAGCTAAGTGGACTGGTTTTGAATTAGATGACAATAAATTAACCTGTTTGCCTGTACAGTAACAATAGAACAGAGAAAAATATTTTTATATTTTTATTAGCATTTTGATGTTAGATGTTTGAAGGCAGTCACCATGAAACCATAGACATAGATTTAATCTTTGTTGGCACCCGTGCCAACTAGGCATGTTTGCAATCTTGAGAGAGATGATGTCCCTTTCTAGAACTCGAAATCACAGTTAGAAATGTTGCCACTGAGTTATTTAGGCAGAGAATAACCATTTGTAGAACTGACATGTGCACATCGCAGTACATCACTTCATTTATAATTAACACCATTGTGTTTAATCCTAAAAGCTGACCAAATTTTGTTATTCAGACTGACGTACGAACCCCTTATTAATGTTATTCAACATGCAGTTTATCATATATGCATGTTAGATGACTCGATGCAATCCATAGAAAGCATTTTCTCAGTTGAATTAAAAAGTTCGCTTAAGAAAAATAAAGCAAATATGTGAACCTTTTCTGATTATATAATCAGTGGATGTTGCACTGTGTTTTGTTGACAAACAGTCGTTTGAACGACGCATTTGATAGGGTACTGAATAGAAAACTACAATAACAAACATGGCATTAAAGCTAATTATAATACTGACATTAGAGAAACCCTATTATCCCAGTAATATTTTAATATTATTATAACATTTTCTTAGTCTTGAAAGTAAACAGTAAATTTTTATCATCTTCATTTCCAACGTTAAAAGTTCTCGTATATAATATACGGACTGCATACTTCTGTACTTCACTCGTAAGTTTTTGATTCAACTAGATAAACAGCAAAAAACCTGGATGGTGGATAACTTCGTCGAAGTTAGAATTTTGCTTGTTATTGATATTCACAAATGAGATTTTTTAAAATGCTTCGTCAGTCGTACACATCGTAGAACCTGATACATATAAATATCGGTTCAAACAACACAGTAAAATGAAAGTTCTAGGCTAAATCCCGGTGCAGTAAAAACAGCAACAGGATTAATAGTAATAGAAAAGATAAAACATCGAAGGTACAACAAGAAAGAAAAACACAAATTACTGAAATAAAAAAACTATTAGGGATTTAGAAACTCATAATCTAAGGGAAGATAAAGAGTGAATGCACCTGTGCTATTGCAAACGATTTCAAGATATGTCATTTAAGGTCTCTAACCACGAGTTACCATAATCACGTAGACCCCAATCAGGTTGTCTGCACCTATTTATATAGTTCAGTCCAATGGTCGATATCTTCATGGACCGATACCGTATATTTGTTTTGTCACTCCTAGCTTCCTCCCAAACTACTCCTACATCAGCCAGAATCACGCTTCGAGGTAGTCGGTGGGTGGACATACGTAATACATGTTCCAACCATATCAGCCGATAAGGTTTCACTACTTCGTCAGTCGATTTACCATACCCATAAACGGCTGTCTGAGCACAGTTCCATTAGCCGGTTGGCATTATCTGTTAGCCAAGTTGCGACACTGTAAGAACCGCCCAAATGTCTTTCACTTTCGTTAAGCTAACTAATTAAGCACTAAAATCACCTGCTATTATTGCTGCATCTAAGAGTTAGGATTTTCGAAAGAACTTGGAGTACTTTCTATAACATTCGTCTTCCAGTCAGTGGGAGCGCAGGCAGAGATAACTAAGAGAAAACAGAGTATTCATCCATCTTTCAGTGTTCTTATGTCTCCATTCAGTCGGACAGCGCACAAGCAACTAACTATTGCAATACAATCTCGGAGGGCCCGATCTGCTGTTGAATTAATGCAATACCTACTCCATCAAGGCCACAAGAGTTGGCAGTCACGTCCAAGATACATGGAGGGTAAATCATCTTGGGTCTCTGCATAGACCAGGTGACGTCAAGTCAACGGACCACAGTTTCGGAGAAACAACAAACATCGGTAGTGAAAGATCCTACAGTCCTAGTTACAGAAGCCTGTTGGCCTACTTGGCACAAGGTCCGAAAACTGCAAGCCCCAATATGTAGTTTACAGCGCGTTTTTAAGAGACCAGGTGTTGTATCCCCTGGCGAATTATGAATCATAAATCTGATGTCCATTTATGGACAAATGTAATACGCCTATTCCTATTGGATAGTTGTTAAATGAGTAACCTAAATCTGATGTCTATTTATGGACAAATACAATATGCCCATTCCCTATTGGATAGTTGTTAAATAAGTGACCTAGTCGTTTCCGTGTTCCTCTTATCACAACCTTTGTTTTGACCTTGGAACTATTATTATTGATTACTTTCCCCCTAGCTACAGCCACATTGGCCAATTACTGTACAAATGTTATTTTTCTATTTTTTGGTATAATTGGGTCTGTTTGGTTAGTATATATAACCCAGTGTGCTTGTGAATAATGATTCATATTTCCGAGGCTGTTATTTGTGTTCTGGACTCAACTGGCTGGGCTAGGCAGTTAGGAAGGACCGAATAGCAATCAAGACTGCTCGTACGTATTTTCTGTATCATTGCACGTTTCATATACAATAACGATTGTTATACGTTCATAACACCAGGGATAACATATCGTGGACTTGAATAATTAACATTAGTGGTCCATGGTGATCAAGTCATAGGAGAAGGGTTGGTGGTGGGGATAGATGGAATATTAGAAAGTGATGAAGGAATTTAACTGTGAACAAGAGTATCTCGGGTGCCATTAAAGGTATGACAGAGGCTATCATTCCCCGATTGCTCACACCGTGGAAGACCTAAAAAGGAAACTGAGTTAGTAGTCGTCGTGGAGACTTGTGAGCATCACCACAAGGCCCAAGAGATAACTGCTTGAGAAGAATATTTGTTTCAGACCATATAGCTCGATCGGATCACCACAGGAGACAAATCCGATCTCCACGTCAAGGTAGCAGCTAAGATCGGGATATAGGTGCTTCCAGATGATGATTTATAAATAGAATGAAAATGGCGTTATGGATGCTACTACTAGTCTGCATTTCACGCAAAACAAATGAACACCACTTGCGTATACGTCATTTATAAAAATACATCTAACTGGGAAATAAAAGACAGAAAATGTGGTAGATTCACCTGGACAATGACTACCCCATTGTGAAGTACTCAGTGAATCAAACAAGCCTCGAGTTTTACTAACTTCGGAGGACAAAAATTGACGTTTCTGATGATAAGCATTGTGTAATTTAGTTTCCTGTTCATTTGTGACCATTTCATTTGATGTTATGGTTGATTTTTGCAATGATTGATCGTTTAATTCATACACAGAGTAAAGAGAAAGAGCGGTTAAACGAGATCGTAGTAAACCAACAGCTTCAGGAATTGACGGATTGATTAATCGGAAAGGCGAGGTTTGTAAAGAATGACCCGTTGAAGGCAAATACCAAGAATTCCATAAGTGTATAACAGCTTCAACACCTTTATCCATCATGGTTTGGTGAATTTCGACCAACTGATCAGAAAGTTTTGATCGAATTTCATGAGTTTTACATTCTAATGGGGGCTGGAATAAAATTGAACAATATTTGTTATTCTTTTATGATATATAACTTTGGCAATGAAAGGATAAATATTATATTTGGCAAGACACACTTAATGCTTAAATTCTCAATTTATAGTAATATATGTATTATTATGGGCTGAAACCTAGCTTCATTCATCCACACTTGAGGGAAAATATTGTAGTACCACTAGTTTTAACATATCATGTGTAATTTAAACATCAATCGACATGGAAATTTTATTGTTTCTTCCAAATAGTACACCCCGTAGTAACAGATATAGACTTGTAGATGAAAAGATAGATTTTGTTATTACTTATATCAGTCTGCACAAACAACTATGGATATGAATTTGAACTAAAAAATATCACAATTTCGGGGTATAACAAAAAATATATCTATTATTAAAACCTGAGAAGACGACCGGCTACAAACAAGATCAACAAAACAAACTGATCTAGTACTTGTCGAATAATTTTTTTAAAGCTCACTTCTACTGATGACTATGTTCAAAACAGCAACGAAAGTTCTACAACTCAACCATACAGCTTGAAGAACGTAACACCGTCAAAAAACATTCATCCAAGCTACATATTTCTATCACATTCAAATACGTTAACAAACTGTAGCTGACCTCTCTGAAAATTAATTTCCCGAAAACTATATAAAATTGTCAACCCACACAAAACAAGTTTGGTTTAAAGTCGAGCGTATAATTATGCGATTGGTTATATTTGTCTCACTCTAAGTCAATCAGCACTTAACACATACACACACGCAGACCAAGTTGCCACGTTAATAAAGACAAGCCAATTAAAGCAATAAGTGACAATAATAATAAGAAAGATATGACAAAAGTGGCTATCAGGACTTAGTGGCCGAGCGGATAACGTGATGGCGTTTGAAGCGAAGGTACTGAATTCGAGTCCCAGATTGAACATCAACTCTGAGATGCGGGCACATCCAGCTGACGAGTCCCAAATACGACGAAACACGCATCAAACTGGATTCTACTGCTAGCCACTATCCATCTCTGCTTACTATGACAAAATGGTTTATTACCTTAATTTTTTCCAAAGACTCAGAAATATCCACCTCTTTGGCATTGTTTACACTGGGAATTAGAAAAAAAACGACAGAAAGAAACCTTTATTAGTATTCAAATGAACTTTTGTAATAATCAGAACGAAAGTGGTAGAGGAGGAAATTATGACTACTGAAGTCAATGATGATAGTCATAAAAACTTAAATGATTTTCAATATACGTCTACAACAACATAACACAATGTTAAATTCAATTAGTATTGTTTTTTGAATCTTCCCATCGATGTGTTAGGACTGCAACTGGTCAGTCTCTAATTGGCATATGTGCACACTGTGGGTATTGCCTCAATATAGCCTAAATTCACAAGCATGGTAAGCAAAGATGAATAGTGACTAGCAGTGAAATCCAGTTTGATACGCGTTTCGTCCTATTTGGGACTCGAACCCAGTACCTTCGCTTCAAACGTCATCGCGTTATCCACTCGGCCACTGAGTCCATGCTTGTGAATTAAGGCTATATCGAGGCAATACGCACAGTATGCACATATGCCAATTAGAGACTGGCCAGTTGCAGTCCTAACACATCGATGGGAAGATTCAAACAAACAATACTAATTGAATTTAAACTTCACCCCATTGCACAAGCAAGTGGCTATCAGGACTCAGTGACCGAGTGGATAACGTGATGGCGTGATGGGTTCGAGTCCCAGAGTGAACATCAACTCTGAGATGCAGGTACATCCGGCTGACGAGTCCCAAATAGGACGAAACGTGCGTGCTGGATTCCACTGCTAGCCACTATCCATCTCTGCATAACACAATGTTATTTTAAGTAATTTTCTATTATCAAAAGTTTTAAATAAAGTGAGAATAACAAGTTGTGCAGAATACAATGAATTCAATAGGTAATTTAATGTCATCTTCATATAGCTCCTTATAGGCTAATCAATTCATTTAACTTGGTATTTTAATGAACATGAAGAGCAGTATACTGTCTTCAAAGTAAACTTGTAGAGTAGTCTAAATAAGTAAGCTTTCAATTGAGGTTTACATTTGTAATTGGAATGATAGTTTTATGAGTTTTTTCAAACCATAACTTTTTGAAGTAATATCATCAGGGAAAATTCTAAGGACTATAAAAATGATATTAGTTCAATTAATTGATAATTATAATTAAAAGGAGGAACAAAGTTGTTTATATTGTTCAGTTCTGTCACTAAAACACGTAAAAGTCAACTCATGATTCCATTTTAAGTAAGAAGGTCGATGTTTAACATTTTAACTTTTCGGTCTTTGTAAATCATAGGAAGGCAAAATAAATACCGTTTGTTTTTTTTTCTTACTTTGAATGCACTTACCCACATCATGCGCCTTGTTCAAAATATGAAGCGCACAATGAAATTGATATTATTCTGGCCCATAAAACGTAAGCTTTTCGGTACATATTCAGAAGACAATAATACTTGTACTTAATTTCTAAACGTTGGAAACGAAATCTGACACGCAATTATCTACCACTGCTGGCATTATTGAACATTAGATAGTATAGAACAGTGCTAGTCTCATTGTACGAAGTTTATTCCTGAGTGTTATTTTCAGAAAACGTGGTAATTCAATCAAAATTGTAGTGATCATATAATTAATCTGTAATGGACTTTTTGTAAGGACGAAGTCCCTTTTTTAGATAAAACTGTCTTAACATACATTTTAAATATAAATCAAACGGGGAAAACCAACTTCTAAAGAACTTACAGGTTGGCCACTTTCTCAATTAAATGTGAGTCGATTATTTGTGGAACGGTCAACAAGGTTTGATGAAGTAGTCCAAGCATTTTACTGTTATTAACCCAACGAGATAGTAGTGATTCTATCACTAAATTGACAGCTCCTCCGTTAACAATAAATTCTGTATTTTCAGTCACTAAACTCATCTACAAATTCAAGGAGAAAAAGCCAATAAAGTAGTAAGTCACAAAATAATCATTTATTCAACAACTTTGATCGATGAAGATTCACTACCTCCCCAACCTGCTTCGGCCTGGGCACCAAGGCAGTATCATAGCCCTCACACAACTAATGAAATTACACTTTTTTGTGTGGCCCATGTATATCTGATGCCCCCTTGTATCAATATTTATGTGTTCAAATAATAATAAATAATACCTCACCAACCGATTTGCCACCTTTATCTGACAACCTGAGTCTAACCTCAGCATTGTTCACTCAATAAATAATCATATCAATTGTCCCAACATACTTGATTAATACTTCGGAAGGATCAAAATATGACCAATATATGAAATATTTTAGATACGTTAACAGAAAATCTACCAGTTAATGTAACAATATATTAACATTTTGGCTAGGAATAACCTAATTATGCTTACATGAACTCTTTTAATACGTAAACGTCCAGTCGAAGTTAGCTTTAATGACATACTAACATTAATTGGAGAATTATAACCAAGGAGAAACTGGACAGCTGATTTAATCTAAGAGACCACATCTGTAACTTTAGCCAGTATGAGATAGTCTTCTATTAAAGAAGTCTACAGATATGTGTGCACGCCAGATTTAGTAATCATCGGTAGACGTTGATGAGAATCTTAAAACCACAGCACACTCGTTTTCAATAATTTTCTAGGTGATGTCAGAAAGTGATGGACAATAAATGTGAACAGCGATATTTCCATAAGCTTCCTACTTAAAGAGTGATATCATTTAGGGTCACTAACTAATATCACATGACAAAACCACCGATCAGAATACCGATTTTCATCACTGTTCCAGAGCCAACTAATGACAGTTCGACCAGCAAGAGTAGCCTTGAATCACTGTTAAGTCCTTATTGGTTCCTGTTAGTGGGACATAGATTGGATTAAAGCATGTTTTATGCATGATGGTGTTGCTGCGCGCTGATTGGCTAATTTTAAACCGATTAGCCCGGGCATATTATTGCTGAAAAATCTATAAGCTTCTTATGTATATACTATAAATATATGAACATTATTTAAACTATTGATTGCTGATTGCTGTTCACTGATTATTATTATTTTGAATACAATTTCATTCCTGTTCAACGTGTTCTGATTTTGGGGTCTTGTCGAGTGTCATCGTATAAGAATACTAAGCAATAGGAATAGCTGGGTCGTTTATATAGCAAAAAAATACAATTATAACAGTTCCCAACACAACAGATTCTCTCCCTGAGCTCCCCGTTGAGTCCAGAACACAATAATCAGCCTCCACTATGGGAATGTTATATCGCAAACATACCTAGTTTATATTCAGACATACCCTACCAAACCACACCATAAAACGAAAACTAACAATTATACATGATCAAGTCAATAAGTGGTTGGGCAGGAGATACTGAGAATAATAAGCTGGCAACAGCATAAGAATAGTAAACCATACAACAGTATTTAGCTCATCGGAAATCATTTGTACATACTATCAATTGTGGTTGTTACGTGAAGTTTCTAAATTACGACTTTGCAAAAAATACAACTTACGAATTTTTTGTTTTCCACTGCCTCTCTTTCTAATGTTTTTAGTTTCTTTTTATTACATCCATTCAGGCTGATATCTGCAGATGTATTGGCCGAATCAACATCACAGTTTTTATATCGTGGAAGGACACGAGTGCGGAAAAAATCCAAAGCATTGATTTCTAGCTTGGCTAATTCCAAATGTAATAGATCACACTCAGGATTCAAAGAGATTCCTTCAGTTATCAAATGACGAGCTTCCCGGATGGCATTCAAATGAGCTCTGTCCCAAGTAAGACGACGTTCTCTGACCATCTCTTTAGCTGCTTTATCTAAGGAAGTTTGATTTTCCTCTAAAAATTTGTGTTGAAAAATGAATACTAAAGCATTTAAAATTTAAGGTATCAAAGGTAAAAGGTAACTGGAAGAAAATTGGTGAATGATACCAAGTCGACGACATTAAAAGGTTTAGGTTAGAGTCAATAGGGAACATGATCAAGCGAACAGATTTACTGGCCCCATAATATATGTTTTAGTAGTGATAATATACTAAGAACGTTTGTTATGTGCATAGAAACGCCCAACCAACTAAAATTCCCAAACTAAATAATTTGACGTTACAGGAATCTACTGCTTCAAGTTTAAGTTTTTCTGTTAACCAAAATCTGGTTAAAACGTCATTCAGCATAGAACGCAGATACATAAAAATGAGGTGCCATTTTATTTGGCGACTTACTCAACTCTTCCATAAGCTCATTTATTTCTTGCTTTTCTGCCTTTGATGCGTGACGATCCAATATCATATATTCACTTAGTAATCTTTTCCGCGTCTTCAATAAATCACCTTTTTGTTTGTCGAAATGTCGTAGATTTTCACGGGCCTTCGATCTGACACCATGATGTAAATGATATGCAGCTGCAGCAATCCAAAGCCTTGGTTCTGTGCGACCATGTATCTGAAGTACATTATTCCATATACGTACAACAGATAAATGCCGGTTAATAATTTTACAAAAATGAATAAATCTCATCCAAAGGTCAAGATGAGACTGGAATCTATAACACAATTGCTATAGAGCACATCACGTCATAGAAAAAACAAATTACCCGATGCAAGCGTACTAGACGACTAATAATTGACTTCTCAATCTTGTCGAGATATCTGCTATCATTTGTAATCTAGAACATAAATTTTACGAAAATGAATTTAACCTGGCGACGAAAGCGTAACAATTTCATTATCGTTATTTCAGTGCTAATGTAGGCATCATAGTCTAAAATCCGTTTGTTACGCTTTTGAAGACTGTATTCATGGTGTCTTCGTTTACGAACTATTTCACTATGGAAACGAGAAGAGGGATACATTATTTGGGCAGTGAAAGAAAAGAAGGTAACATCGTAAAATCTCACAGATAATTTGAAGAATCACTTTTAATTATTAATTAGTTACAAGTACTAAGTGTAAAATATTATGCGCTCAGAAATGTGAGCAGATGTGTTGCATGAGGCGATTTTATGAGTGTTTAATATTTCCAAATCTGTTCAGTGGAACTGTTACTTACTTACTTACTTACGCCTGTTACAATGGAGCATAGGTCACCGACCAGCATTCTCCAACCCACTCTGTCCTGGGCCTTCCTTTTTAGTTCTATCCATTTGTTGTTCATTCTTCTCATGTCTGTCTCCATTTCTCGGCATAATGTGTTATTTGGTCGTGAGGATTATAAGTGAGGCCTTGTCTTGTGACTCAGTTAGGTGCTTTCCTCAATGTATGTCCTATCCACTTCCAGCGCCTCTTCCTGATTTCTTCCTCCGCCAACATTTGATTTGTTCTCTCTCACAGTTAAATGTTGCTGATAGTGTCTTGCCAACGGATACGAAGTATGTTGCGTAGACAACTGTCAATAAACACCTGTATCTTTTGGATGATGGCTTTTGTAGTTCTCCAAGTTTCCACCCCACACAGTGGGATTGTCTTAACATTTGTATTGAAAATTTTGATCTTCGTGTTGGTTGACAGATAGTTGTTTTGAATTCCAGATGTTCTTCAGTTATAAATATGCTGCTCTTGCTTGTTGATCCGTGCCTTCAGATCTGCATCAGACCCACCGTGTTCAACAATGATGCCGCCCACATAAATGTTAAGGTTTTTACATCCTCCAAAGTTTATCCATCAAGTGTGTTTTGATTGGTGCATGCTGTGTTGTGTCGGAGAATCTTGCTTTTCCCCTTGTTTATATTGAGACCTACTGCTGCTAAGGCTACTGCTACCCTGGTCGTCTCTTGTATTTGTTGTTGAGTGTTTGATGATGATGCTACATTAACTCCTCTACTGGTTCTCACATCCCCCATCGTCCTCCTGAACTGTTTGTTGATGCAGATATGGTTGATTTTGTTCTGCGTAGTGTGGTCCGGTGAAGTCCATGTAGTTTTGTGTATGCTTTTGTGTGAGAATATGGTGCCGCCTATGACCAGCTTATTGAAGGCACATAGGATTGCAAATCTCTCACCATTTTCATTCCTTTCTCCTAGTCCATGTCATCCCATGATGTTTTCGTATCCAGTGCTGTCCATTTTTAACCTTGACATTTGAATCTCACATCAGAATTGTCAGGTCCCTTGTTGGGCACTTCTTAACGATCGAATGAAGTCTGTCATAGAATTGGTCTTTAACGTCTTCATCGTAGTCGTTGGTAGGCGCATAGCATTTGATGACGTTCATTGTAATTCCCCCTTTACTGTTATGAAGTACAATAATGATAAAATGAAGTATTCTTGACATACTATAAAAGTTGGTAAATACCTGACCGGAACTGGTCATTATTTTCATTTGTTCTCTAGTAACCAGAGGTGAGTGTTACCGACTGAAAACCCAAGAAAGCACTTCAACATATAACGGGATTATCTAACGCAGTATTTCTACATGTAGTTACGTCGAAAATGGGGGGGGGGTAAGACAATGCACACTAATTTAGAATCTATAATTTCGGGACAACACGCGCGCTATTTAAAAAGGACAGTGGTATTTTTCCTCGTTGAGTAAATTCTATTTTTTTGATCGTTATTAACGTATCAAGACTACTGTTTTTATACTTTGATTGAATTTCTTTCAGTTAAAGTATTCTATTAGAGTATCATTTTTGGTATCCTAAATAGTTTTATCGTCGGTACTCCAGAGTACCTTTGTTTTTCTATTGTGTCTGTTAGTACTTTGGTCCTAACTATTTATAGTTTTTTTTTCTACTTGTAGTCAACACTCACTTTCGCATCCTAAAATGACTGGAAGATGCAACAAAAGCATTTGCCACCGCCCAGGATGTCGATATCCTGTTGATAGCGGCATGCAGTGCGATGAGTGCAAAGGTTGGTACCACGATGTTTGCACGAATCTAACACCTGCAGCTTTCAAGCGGTTCAGTAAAAATGGGTGCGTATGGCTATGTCAACAGTGCTGTTTGGATGCAAATAGCCTGTTAACCGAGGCCATCTCAATAGTAAATGCCGCAAAAAAGTGTCTCGGCAAGCGCGGTCGGGATACATCAGTCAGAACTCAATCTGTCGACACGCAGGTTGACACAAGGCAGGCCCAAGTGAGTCCAAAAACTGCCGACACACACTCTACTAAGGAGGAAGAACATCCTCCAAAGAGGTCTGTTACAACCAGAAACTCGCGCAAAAAAGTCTCTTCTATCCCTCGTATCAAAAATGGTACCCAGAAGAGAACTTCCGGAAGCCGAAACCGCAAGGCTCAATCGGTTTCCAGCGCGAAAGATGACCCAATCTCCCAAGTCGTCCTGAATCTTCCGGAATCCCACAGTACGCCTGACGCGACTGTGGTTACCACTCCAAAGAACGTTGGCGATTGGGTACGGGTCGTAAGAAAAAAACGCCAAAATGACGTAAAAGGAAATCATACCCCCACCAAAAGGGTCGACAAGCCGAGGTCTGATCACAGCGACAGATCAGTCATTCTCCATAGAGTCGAGGAGAGTGACAGCTTAGAACCGAAAGCTCGTTTTGAGCATGACATTGTGTTGATAAAACAACTACTCAACCAAGTTATGCCCAAAAACATCCCCGGAGTCACCTTGCTAAAGGTGTATAGACTAGGAAATCTAGCGCATCTGAAACCAAATCAGTCTAGACTACTCAAAGTCGTTTTCAAATCCCCAAACGAACGCGACTTAATCTTAGAAAATGGACACAAATTAAAGGGTTCAGGAGTTTTTCTCCGTAAGGACTTGCCGTTGGCGGACCGTGTTAAAAGACGGGAAGCCGAAAAGGAACTACAGCTCAGATTAGACGCTGGCGAAAAAGACCTGAAAATTGTAAATTTTCGGGTTGTGGGGCTTCGACAGAGGATGATGCCGAAGCCACTCTGGGTGAAGCACGAGGCCACCTAAATAGGCTTCGGATCTGTTATACCAACGCCCGGAGCTTACTAAATAAGCTACCGGAACTAGGTGTACAGATTGACTCAACTAGGCCAGACATAATCGCAGTCACAGAAACATGGCTGACGCCGTCTATAGATAGTAGGGAACTTGATTTCGAGGGTTTTACATTAGTAAGGGCCGACAGAATACAAACGCGTAAAGGAGGGGGAGTAGCTCTATTCATTAGGAATGCCATTCCATTCACCATTATCGACAGTGTATCCCATGAGAGTGGGACGTATGAATTAGTTTGCTGCCGCCTGAAATGCAGGGGACAAGAGTTGCTACTTAGTTTGATCTATCGCAGTCCAAGCTGTGAGGCAAACGAGGTCCTGCTAAGCAGTCTCAACACTTTATCATGAAGTGATCGATGTCTAATCCTAGGGGACTTTAATGCACCCATGGTGGACTGGGGAAATCTGCGGACTGAATCGTCAGCAAATTCCTTCGAACAGGAACTAGTTGATGCGGTAATCACATGTGCCCTAGTGCAACACGTGAAGGAAGCAGCTAGGTACGACCCGGGTTCTCCATCATCCTTACTAGATCTTATATTGGCTAATTATGAGGATGATGTTGCAAACCTGGATTACATGCCACCCCTAGGCAAAAGTGATCATGCAGTTTTAAGCTTTGACTTCCATATAACTCGATCACGAGTACGCTTCAGCTCAATCCAGACCTAACGTCTGGAAAGCAAACATACCAGACATCATGAAATCAGCATCATCAGTAAATTGGAAAATAGACCCAGAGTCATCAATCGAAACGGCTTGGGACGTATTCCGGAATGTATACTTAAAAGTTACCACCCCCCACATCCCTTGGACTACACCTAAGAGACCGAGAAACTCCCCACCGTGGTTCAGTAGGGAGGTTCGCATCCTTCTCCGTAAAAGAAGGAAAATGTGGGACAGATTTAGGTTACTGGGGACTGACGAGGCAAAATCTCAGTATCAAAAGGCTCGAAATACCTGTGCCTCGACCCTCCGTAAGGCCAGAAAGCTGTACGAAGAGAAAATCGTTAGGGAATCCATAGAATGCCCTAAACGCTTGTATTCGTATATAAGCCAAAAGACAAAAAGAAGAAGAAATGTTCCTTCACTATGGGGAGACAGTATTGCCACATCACTAGTGGAGGATGACTTTGGCAAAGCTCAAGTATTCTCTAAATACTTTAGCGATGTATACACCATAGAAACACCCTTCTCACCAGTCCATGAAAATCCACCAACACAAGCACTGGACAGCGTAACCATTAAAGAACTCGATGTCTTTGGTCTGCTAGTTAAGCTTGACATAGGTAAATCCACTGGACCCGATGAACTGCATCCTAGGTTACTAAAGGAATTAGCTAACTTTGTTGCGAACCCTTTAAGTGTATGTTTTAATCTATCCGTAACCCAGGGTCGTCTACCAAAAGACTGGAAGAACGCCATAGTAAGTCCAGTCTTCAAAACAGGTACAAAACATAAGCCTGAGAATTACCGACCAATTAGCCTAACTAGTGTGGTTGTTAAAATCTTAGAAAAGATCATTCGGAAGGAACTGTTAAAGTATCTCGATGAAAACCGGATCCTCTCCGAAAAGCAGCATGGTTTTAGAACAGGTTACTCTTGTCTCACAAACTTATTAGTCGCTCGTGAAAGCTGGTGCGCTCTTAAGGACCAAAAATTACCTATAGACGTAGCTTACATCGATTTCAGCAAAGCTTTCGACATAGTTCCGCATAACCGGCTGTTATATAAGCTGAGGAATGTCGGGATTGGAGGCAATCTATTGATGTGGATAAAAGACTTCCTAGTTGGGCGTCAACAAAGAGTAAGGGTGAACTCCAAGTTGTCTAGCTGGGAAACTGTGCTTAGTGGAGTCCCCCAGGGTACAGTTTTGGGGTCAGTGTTATTCCTCCTGTACGTAAATGATCTCCCTCGTCTACTATCGTCATCGGTCTTACTCTATGCTGATGATGTCAAGATATGGAGAGCGATACAAAGCAAGGGCGATAGCTCAGAACTTCAAAATGACCTGGAGAGATTATCTGAATGGTCCCAAACCTGGCAATTGCCGATAAACACTTCCAAGTGTATTGTGATGCATATTGGCCACCAGGGTACAGATACATACACGATGAATAACACTGAGTTACCTATTGTTCAGGCACACAATGACTTAGGCGTCATCGTCAGTCAAGACTGAAAGACTACTGCACACTGCCGTGCAATAGCCGCCAAAGGTTTTAGGACTTTATGGTCCATACGCAGGGCTTTTAGGCATCTTGACGCTAAAACGTTTTTGACTTTGTATACAGTGTTCGTACGCCCTAAACTTGAGTACTGTATACAAGCAGCTAACCCCTGCCTAAAAAAAGACAGTGAACTCTTGGAAAGGGTTCGGAGAACAGCAACTAGGCTGATTCCCGGAATAGCGAAGCTCCCGTATGGTACTAGACTGGCCAAGCTAAACCTATTCCCGCTGTCATATAGAAGAATCAGAGGTGACTTGATCATAGTTTTCAAATTGCTTAATGACAAATTTGCACCTGACATGCCCTCATTTTTCTTGTCTTCCAAAACAGAAAATCTACGAGGACACTCCAAAAAAGTTCACAAGCCCCGAACGAATTACTTGTCAGCTGACTACCGACTTTCCCATCGAATAATCAACGAGTGGAATTCATTACCTCAGCACGTGGTTGAGGCTCCATCCGTCGACTCCTTCAAAAGAAAGTTGGATCAGCTGAGAGACCATCATTGCCAGGACTAACACAGGCCATCAAGCCTCCTGTCCTTTCCAAACTGAAACTGAAACTGAATTGTCTCCACGCAACAGCCTAAGATAACTTGGAGGTTACTTAATCGCCCTGAAACAATTTCTTCTTTTGATAAACCGGTTCCTGATTTTCACTATAGAAAGTGACCCGATAATTAAGTTAAACATGATCTATGCTGCGTCAGAAAAAGAAACATTTTAATTCGGTGTAACCATCCTCCGATTGATCGTCCAATATGAACCATTTTCTGCTAGTCAGTATTAAACATTAAAGCGATATACGTTGGACATCGGTCAACTGGCGTAGATGTGTAAGATTACTTGTGTCGAGACAACTGCCTTCGGTAAGCTCAGAAACGCCGTCCCTAAACGTTACAATGCTCAAGCATTGTGAACATATCCCGCAGCCAAGCTAACCACAATTATAAAGATATTCTCATACATTGGTTTTGACATATGCTGAACATTAGCAAATGACATCGAGAACTATATGACCTGAGAAGCGATCGCTGTATATTGAGGACCTTACGAAATCACTTGGAATCTGGAGAGCTAATATTCCACACAATACAGAAACAAAATAATATGAAGTGAATCTCAGCACATGCCATTGTTCATGCTCTTTCAGTGCACCCTCAAATAACGCATAATCCTATTAGTGGATTATCTTCATACATACTAAACTTGATGAACCAAATATATTCCGCTAATTTTACGTCTGAAACATGGAAATAACATGTATTATTAATATCACGGCATGTAAAATTGCATGTGGACTATACATAAGGAAATAAAACTTGCGTAATGACGAAAACATACACAAACTTACTTAATCTCCAATCTGTTGAATAGTTTCGCCTTTCGGATATGCAGAATCTCGCCGACGGAATCTTCCAAATTGCGTTCTACAACTTCTGCCATCGCCTTTCACTTGTAGATTGGCGATGAGACCACTTTTGATGATCTTATAAAACAGTGACGTGAAACTGCTACTTGAGTGGACAGAAAATACAATCCCAATAGTGGTTATGAAGAACTACAATGCATAACATGCTTTCGCCAGACGACCTTCATAACAAATCTCCGCTACACAATGTCCAATTTCTTTGCTATGAGCCTGTTGAAAAAGATTGATTTATTTATCGTCTTTTCTTTGCATCGAAATGTAGCTCCTGTTTTTAAGTTTCATCTAATGCATGCAATCTTCCCAGTCGATTACAATTATCCTGATGAATTTGCAACTTGTTTGGAGGTGTAGTTACAAAATAAAAAGTTCGTTGAAGGCAAAACTAATCATAATCTAATGAAGCAAGTACTTGAAATTGATATCTTCAAGCGCAAAACTACCATCAAGAATGGTGTAAAGTGTACGCTTGCTCAACTTTCATGTGAAAAAATTTTCACGCATTCAGGTAAATCGATAATCTTTAGACGTACACATTAACCCTACGTTGTACTCAGAATGGCTATCAAAGCACTTCTAATCCTGTTACTATTCATTAAACACACCAATGGTTTTCAGGTGTAAATCTGGCGGGATCATAAGTCACATTGTTTCCTCAAAATGTATGCTGTGTGGCCAAGAAATAAATTTTGCAATATAGTGTTGGGGATTTGCTGTTATGACTTTGGAATAACCAGCGAGAACCTAGTGTGTCTTGCACCTGCGAAGCCCATTTCAAAGTGTTGGCATATCATAGTTATTACAGATGGCCAATCCTAAGACCTCAACCATTTTAAGCAGTTCAGTCTACCTTCGGATCAGTAACGACTTACATTACACTTGTCAATCCATATTGGGTTTCAATATTATCATACAACTTTTAGCGACTCAATAATCATGTAATATGGTCATTAGAACTAACGAAGTCAGTCAGATACACACCGTCAATAATGTGAACCTTATGACCGTCCAATAAATATAGTACAGGTAGCTAATTACCTTTGTTAACGACTATAAATGCTTCTGATACAATTGTCAGCTCCTTTAAGGTAATTCATCATTATCATCAAGGTTTACCCCATTAAAGAAATGGACAACAAACCTACCGATGTAGGAACTGTTACAGGGGAGATGAAAAAGCTCGCTGAGAATAAACAAATTATAGGGAGTACTAAGGTATGCTAATCTACGGTTTCAATTCCGGATTCAAATATCAACGCAAAACAGATTATAGGAGAGAAAAGCTTTAGCGGTGTAGATGATGTGGTCAAGAGACAAAATAAGGTAAATTATTGGCTTACAATCACACCCAGAAAAAGTAAAGTAAAGGAACAGAGTGTGGCCTTCGCGCGTGACGCCAAATCGGAATCACATTTCAGTTAGTACAATTCCACAGCGTATTAAGGCAGACCTCATTAACAGGGCAGTCATTTTTCTTGAGTTAAAAGGATCTTCCGACAAATAACCAAAGACTGGATTTGCGCACGACCTCAGCCACATTAAGTTCTTAATATGCGAGTTACTTCCAGAAACCGTATCAGGAGTTAGCATCCGTAAGCTTTATAGAATAGGACAAAAATTGGATTATGAGAGCGCACAAAAAGACCCCCTCCTAAAAGTTGTTTTTGCCTCTTCTGAAGAAAGAAACTTAATACTGTAAAACTCACGCAAATTGACTGAATTCTAAATATATGTCCTTCAGAATATCAGCCTGATGGATCGAATTAAGAGATGATCGACAGAAGTGGAAATACATGAGTGCCGCAGAAACGGTGAAGGAGCAAAACGATCCCCAAATCACTCTGTGTGGCAAAATAAAGTTCTCCACCAAAATAAAGTTCTGCTACACAAATGCTCGCAGCCTACAAAGTAGAATGTCGGAGCCCAAGACAATGGTGGATAAAGAAAAACAGGATGTCGTTGCTGTCTCAGAAACATGGCTAACGTCAGCAGTTTTTGATAGTGAAATTCGATCGGTTCGTTTTTTATCCAGTAGAGCTGATAGACTATACCTTAGGGGGGGCGAGGTTATACTGTACATGAAAATTACCTCAACCATGAGAGTTGTTGAGACAACAGCACATGATTCAGGGACGTGTGAACTGGTGCGCTGCAGGCTGAAATGTAGGCTACAAGATACTGAACTAGTTGTAGTATACTGCAGTCCGGAATGTGTATTAGATGACCTCCTCTGAAGTAAACTTAGGTCCTGGTGTAATAGGGGTGAAAGCCTTGTAGTGGGTAAAATTACACGTAGGGTCATAAACAGCATCGCCTGGTTGCAAATTCCTAGAAACCACGATCACCCTAGCTTTATTCCAAAACACTAGAGGTGCCACCAGAAATGACTTACGAAGCTCCTCGTCCCCCTCGGACTTAATCTTCATCCCTGGATAGATCGGCATATTTGATGTTTGCTACGAAAAAAGAAGACATTTTTTGAACGTTGTCATCAACCCTGAGACAGCACGGGCGATATAATGCTGCAGGTCGGTAAGAAATAAGTGTCTAATTACAATCCAGGAAGCTCGGAGAAAATATGAAATACATTTGGCTTAGTCTCCAATCAATGAGCCTAAGAGACTATTCTTGTACATAAAATGTAGAAAAAGGAAGCAGCATTGGATTTCCAACCTAATTAAGGAAGGGAGTGGATCTGAAATGATATAGGACAATCAGGAATATTCAGAGGCTATGGTAAACTCTTTTCGGGCAGTTTTCACTCAAGAACCCCTTCTATATATATATATATACAATATAAACTTGAAAAATCATCTGCAGCCACACTGACTGTAACATTCAATTTGTTACTTGGCCAATGTGAGTTATCAACGGGCAGGAAGGATGCAAATGTCGCTCCAACACATAAAACAGAATCTAGACAACTTCCATCAAACTACAGACCTATCAGCCTCATCAGTATCACAGCTAAAATACTGGAAAGAATAGTCGAAAGGACCATATTGACATTTGTGGAAACCAACAACTTGGTAAACAGCGAACAACATGGTTTCAGAAAAGGTTCATCTTGCACAGCAAATCTCCTTATAGCAAGAGACATGGACAGAGGCTGTAGATAATAGAAAACCAGTGAATGTTGTCTACATCGATTTCAGCAAAGCATTTGATAAGGTGCCAAAACATAGACTACTTTTGCAGCTGGAATATCTAGTCATTGCTGGCACTCACCTGAAATGAATAAGGTATCTCTTGGTGGTTCGCAGTTGGAAAGTAGGAATAACTTCCAATTGTTTTTTCTGGGAACAAGCGCTTAGTGGAATACATAAAGGGTCTGTATGTAAATTGTCTAACAATGCTAATATTCGGTGATGTAAAAACCTGGAGAAAAAGAACAGGAGACACAAATGTATGTATGCGTAGGGGAAGTGCCTGTACCCGTGATCCAGTCTCACGAGGATCTTGGAGTTACAAAGAGTCATGATCTTGAGATCACGGCTTACTGCCAGGAAGTTGCAGCAAAGGGTTTAAAACCCTACAGGCTTTAAGAAAGACATTCATCAAGTTAGGTACTATCATGTCCACTACAGTATACATAACCATGGTGAGAATTAAGCTTAAGAACTGCATTCAGTCTGCGAGCCCCTGCTTTATAGGTGACTCGGATATCGTGGGAAAAATGCAAAAGGCAGCTATCCGTGCAATTCCAGAACTCTGGTGCTAGCCATACAAAGAGCGGCTTGAAAAGCTAGACCTCTCCATGCTGTCCTATCGCAGATTAGGAGGTGATCTGATTTTGACATATAGAATCCCAATAAGTGATTTTGGATCTAATACATCCTTTCTCTTTCTTCCCAATAGATCGGGATATCTTAAGGGATATAACAGCGAGTGGGAAAGCGAAGAACGAACAAAATGCCCGTGGTATACAGGTTTTCAAACCGAGTCATCAATTCTTGGAACCTGTTACCCGAAGAAGTGGTATCCACAACTTCGATTAACTCATTCAATAGAAGATCGAACACCCATAGAAGCATACTAGAAAAGGAATGACATAGGCAGTAGGCCTTATGTCCTTACTACATATATCTGAATCTCCTTGTTTAAGTCCTACAATCATTTAAGTCTGTAGGACGACTTGGGAGCGGCTAAACAACATATGTAACTTTACATATGAATTCCAAAGAATTATGAATTATAAATTTCAGAGACGCGTATCACTTCGTATTTATGACTGCGTCTAATTTTGCGTCCATTTCAGTCCTTATATCCAGTAGGTTTTACTTTTTAGAAGTGCTGCTTTTTCATTTCGTGTGTCAGTGTACTACTCTATTTTTGAAACCAAGTTTTGTATATTTTTAAGACAATGTGTTGACAGACAGTATCACTGTACACAAGTAACTCAGTCGAGCCTGTCTTTATCTCATAGTATAATTTTGATCCGTATTTTAGGTTTCAGATTTTTGTGAGCTTTGAATTAATTAGTCGATATTGTGTACAACAGTCTGAGCATTCATGGTATCTCTTTTCACGAATATTTATTAAATTAGAAATACTTTCACGCATATTCATGCTCACGGTGCATTGTTTTGTTGGGCTGATCATAACATAAATTTGTGTGTTATTCAACAAATCTTAACACATTTAACTTGGAATAAATTCCGAGTAATCCTAATTATAGATCTTTCTCTCCTGCTGTATGCGTCTGCCATTGCTCTCCTTCTTTTTGTCCAAGTTGTTTATTTCATTTAATATGTGGTTCTTAACCTGCAGTTTGTACACATAATCAGTAACTTATGTATTAATTTTTGATTTTTGAATACATTCACCTTTTCTCTCTAAGACAAACTGTTGCTTTTATTATTGACTAAGTTGATCCACCCCTATTGCACCAAAATGGATTCGGTCTGACGATAATATAGTAAGATTCATCATTAAGCTCCTGTCAATAATGTGAGGAGAAATACGCAGAAGTGGGATACAAATACTAGCTTTCCAAATTAACATTCAGGAATATATG